TTTTGCATTTAAACTAGACTCTACCTCTATGCTACTCTCTTCAAATCTCACAATTCTTTGATGAAAGATCACAGTCATCTTTTGCTGAGCCAGTCAGAGGTCATCTAGATACATATCATGATCATATAACCCATTCACCACATAGAGAAAGGTCTGTTCAGTTACATGACTACCTATATCAATTCAAATACCAGTCACTATACTTATGAAGAGTCTCATGGAGTCTTTAAAGCTGATCATTTTAACAGAGAGAATTTCAATGTAAAGAAGCTTATGCTTGTTAATGTAGAATTGAGAAATAAGATCATAGATATTACATTCACTGTCTATTATTGCTCTAGTTGAAAAGGCATTATCTACTAGAGCATCAACAGTGAAGGGTTTGAATATCATCTTAGATTTAAATCTTCTTCATTACTTTCTCATAAGCTTTTTATTTCACTTCTTTCAGTGTCTTTTGATTGAAGCTACTCTTTTTTCTCAAATCCTCACTCATATTCACATTGTTGTTGTCCAGTACCAGCTCAGAGATCATCTTAACTATTGTGGGGGTGGCAGAATGTCTGGAAGGTTTGAATGAGCAGCTCTTAATCATATGACCTCTGGCTCCACATATCAGGTACAGGCCTTGCTCTCTTTGTTGATTAACCTCTGTCTGATTTATCAATTTGATGTGGTAGATGCTTGATGTCACAGCACTAGAAGAGAGATTCATCAGATCATCAGCAGAAGCTTGAGACTGATTTTGTTGATCAAGAACAGCATGACAAAGTAGAGAGTGTGGATTAGATATCATATGATCTGAAGAAGATCTGTCCTTATGACATTTAAATCACTGTCTTAAAGTTTTAAGCTTAGAAAGTTGATGATCAACTAATCTAAGCTTCTTGTAGTAATTTTTATAGAGAGACAGTTCTCTTATACCCACTATGCCTTCTCTCAGCTTCATGCTTAGAGTGGATTTCAAATATCTCTTTTTAATGTGATCATCTCATTTATAACCACCAGCTTCCAGCAGTAGCTGATTAAATTCAGGCAGAAAGTCAAAGAGAGCTCTTCTACTCTGTTATAGATTGTTGAACTTTTGCATAGTCTTTTTCTGTCATATAGAATCACTAAAGAGCATGTGTGTCTGCTTCAGTAAGCTCTCTACTGTGAAGTTGATCTTGTTCTTATTATTCTCAACTCAGAGATAAACTTGAGCTGCTGCCATTTCTTTCAGTCTTGAGTACATATATCAAGCATATTTCTCATTATTATCTAAAGCTTTTCCATCAATCTTAAGTTTTGATTGAAGCTTTAGCTCTCACTGAGAGTAGTGCTTCAGATTAGAACCATCATACTTCTCACAGTCCAGTAGCTTAGTCTTTGATCTTCTGACTGCAATGAGTGATTGCAGGTTTGATTGAGAGAGAGTTGATGTTGAGATGTTCAAAGCTTGTCATAAATTAGCTATTTTAACTTGCTGAGCTGCTATTAAATCTCTGTTCTCACACTGGACCTGTTTCTGCTGTTGAAGAAAGATCATTCATTGTTGTTTAAAGCTGCTGAAGATGTCTCTGCTCATTGCTTCATGTTGATTCATTTGTGTATTTGTTGTACAAGTCTGCTGCTTTATCTCATTCAGCTAGCTATTTTCAATGTTGCTTGTTCATTTGTTAGCATGATTGCTAACTCAGTCTATTCATATACCAGTACTATTACTGAACTTTGTGATGCATGATTTAAGACTCTCAATAGTCTATCATATGTCAGCACATTTGCTGAGCTTCATGATATAGAATTAAGACTCTCAGTGGTCTATCAATGAAAGTAGTGAAGCAATTCATAATGTAAAGAGTTAAGCTCTAAGAACTAGAGGCTAGTCCTTCTATATAATAAGAACAAATTGCTTGAGAAAGGGAAAAAAAGAATGAGATGAGAACTTGAGCTTAAGCAAACTTGTGTAGCATGATTACATGCACATGTGCAAATGATGACTAGGCTAAATCAGTCAGTCAGAGTGAATCTAAAGGTTCAACCCCTTATATTTACATTAAAGTAGTAGACTCTTATATACAAGAGTCTAACTAGTAATTGATTTTATAATCAATTACTAGAGTTTAGTTAGTTATATTGACTATAATTATAAATAAGTAAAATGATTAAGTAGCTTAACTATTTGTCTTAAGTAGTTAACTAAATATTGATTAATTTATCTATTTTTTTATCTATAAGTTTTCACTTAATTAGTGTAATTTCATTTAGTATATAAAACTTTATATTAATACTATTTAGTAGTCAATAAGATTCTATCAAAGTTTATATACATAATAATTAGTTATTGAGATATACTAATTTATAATATCTTCTTCAGCTGTTAGATATGTATAAAATTTAACATGTTTTCAAGCTGTTAATCTGCATGTCTATTAGTTCATTCTGTTTACTATGAAACTTATTTATCAAAATAGAATCCACTAAAAAACTATTAAATTCAGTGATAATACTTCAAATAAAATTAAATCTTATAGTTTAATTAATTAATTAATTTATCAAATCATATAAGGATATTTAATAAATAAAAATAAATAATTAAAGATATTATTACAGTGATTTTATCTTTAAAATCAATAAAATTTCATTTAATGCAGTCTTTTTTAAGAGACTTAATTTTTAATTTTCTAATTAATATTGATATTGATAGTTTCTACACTTTATTTATCTTATATTTCTCTGAGAAAAGTTTTTAAAATATCAGTAATTTCATCAATCTTTATGTAAAATTGAAAAAAGTTAATAAAAACATATATAATAAAGCTTTACAGCTCTCTGAGGCAAAAGTTGATATAGAATCAACTTCACTATTACTTGAAATTCATAAATCTTTAACTATAATATCTACTCTTTTTAATTTTTTTCATCAATAATTCTTTAAAAATATTAATATAATAGAAATAATAATTTTTATATATTTTCTTCTTTATATAAGAGCTTATAGATTCTGTCAGACTAATCTATATTAGAAAAATAATCTGAAATAAACTTTATTTATTTTATATAAAAATATATAAGTTGTATTTATTTTAAAGAAATAAAATCGTATATATACATATTAAATCCTTATAATGTATACTAGTCAGAAGTTTAAAATAAGAATTGATGATATAAGATAGAGTCTTTAGCTATAGAATTTTATACTGTATATTGAAAATATTATATATTTGATTTAAAGATTTTAATAGATAAGATTATGATTAAATGCTTTAAATGAAGTTAATATATTTATAAAATTTCTAATCAATTAATTTTATAAGATTATAAGATATTTAATCTAGTAAAATATAAGTATATATGAACTTTTTTCTGATCTAGCCACTAACAGAGTATAATATCTATTTATCAATTCTTAGAAATTACAAGAATAAAATTAATAATGATAAATTTTCTTCAATATCTTTCTATAGTTTTTATATTGAATGCTGAGCTATCTGCTAAATCTATTATCAAATCACTCACTAAATTATCTACTAAGCTTATAATTAAATTCTTTATAAATATTAAAAATTTTATTAATTAGTAAGTAACTACTTACTCAATTTATCTTAGCAACTACTTTATCTTTATTTTTTTATTCAAATTACTATATGAGAAGAGATATGGTACTTGTAGAATTACATGATTAAATCAGACTTCATTTTTTTTATCTGAATTTAAAGAGCACATGATAACTATTTTAAGCAATAATTTACATGTTATTGAGAATGAGAATGTTCTATATCTTGTCTGACAAAATAATAATATAATATTAATACTAATTATAATTTATTTATTGAATATCTTTATTGAGTATACTTGAAAGTGATCTGAATAACTCTTAATAAATATTAAAATTATATAAAAGATCTTTGAAGATCAGCTACAAAAAAGATTGAAAATTTCTGTTATTATAGATGATTACAATCATAATATAATTGTAGTGAACCTAGCAAATCAGTACTGTGTAGTATATATTAGTCATAGAATTATTTATCAAATCTGACTTTTTATTTTCTACTGATTTATTGATTCTATAGTAGTTAATGACTATATACTTTAATATATCTATAAGAAGCAGCAAAGTATTTCAATGAAGAACCTGCCTTCTCATATAAGCTTTTATGACCAGCTTTATCAATAACTCTTTGAATTTATATCTAAGATTTATAATTATCTTCTATTCTAATAATCAAATTCTACTTTAAATCATTAATGAATTACTTTATCAAAGCAATTAATTTGTATCTGATGTCAGTATAAACAAAAGCTAGGTCAGCAACAACATAAACAAACATCAGAATCGTATTCTGATTGCTCATCATGTCAAAATATGCGTCTCTGTTTGATAACTCAATGTTCAAAGGAATTCCATAAGATTACCCAATCTAGTAGTGACAACGCGAATCCTTAATTAGAGCCTTATAAATTACCTTAATACACACTAATACCAAAATTACATTGATAATTCAATGAGAAATCATAAAATATGTACTAATTGAAACCGCGCTAATTGAGAAAGAAAGAACTTATAGACGAGGGGATAAAATTATCTTATTTATCTGGCCTTTCCAACACCACCCATCCAACTCTCTACCATTCAATACCACTAGGAGCAAAATGCTGCTCTCCAGATATTTATTAATCCCATAATACCCACCATCTGTAAATATTATCTGTATACTTTGTACTACACAAAACAATAAATATTACATTGACTTTAATCATAAATAAGTAAAATGAGTAAGTGGCTTAACTATTTGCCCCAAGCAGTTAACTAGGATTGGCTGGTTTACCTATAAAATTATCTCATTTATCTGGCCTTTCCAATGCCAAAGAACACCACCCATGCAACTTTCAGGCTCTACCATTCAATACCACTAGGAGCAAAACACTGCTCTCCAGATATTTATCAATCCCATAATACCCACCATCTGTAAATATTATCTGTATACTTCGTACTACAGAAAACAATAAATACAACAATGCATGCCCAATCCCTCCTAACCCTCTTCTCTTTCTCTCTTCTCTCCCTCAGCACCTCTGTCGCCGCCGAAGACAACGGCCTTAAAATTGAAAAGACTCACACTCTCGAATGCGAGCGCCGTACCACGGCTGGCGACGTTGTTCAAATGCATTACCGTGGCACCTTGGCCTCTGACGGTTCCCAGTTTGATGCCAGCTACGACCGCGGTCAGCCACTGGTGTTCACCATCGGCAAGGGACAAGTTATCAAAGGGTGAGTATATTATTTAAACCCTGCGTCTTCCGCCTTCGTCCCTTGAAAAATTTGAAATGCACTGGTTAACTAAATGCTTTCTGGTTTAGATGGGACCAAGGCCTCCTTGATATGTGCATTGGCGAAAAGCGCAAACTTACCATCCCTCCGGAGCTGGCCTACGGTGATCGCGGCATAGGACCCATCCCTGCCAAGTCCACTTTGATCTTTGAGACAGAACTGGTGAACATCCAAGGTACGAAGAAGGATGAGCTTTGAAGTCCGTATTCTTTTTGCCGTCCGTAATTCCGCCCGATCAATAGTACTCTCCCTCTCCTTCTCTATCCGTACCATCTACGGATACGAACCTAGTGAGGTGAACGATTGTTGATACGCACTTTTGCAGGAGTCGGTGGTGATACTGGCAGTAATACGTTCCTATGGTTCTTTGTCATTCTGTTATCGGTGGCGGGATACTCCTTCTGGAGACGATATGGGTTCGTTAGGTTGTTTGATCAACGTAGATAGACTATGGAAGTAATACGACTACTTAATCATTACTTTCCCGAGCGAATTGCGGATTATATGCGAGAGTGAAGCTGTTCTGTTAATTGTGACTACTATGAAATACCTATCTATATCCCTATGTAACCTTATGTCCTTACTGTCCACACAAAAAAGCTCGAATCCCAAAAAACTCCAGATCAATCAAGGGTATAACCAGAAACCTAGCCATCTAAATCTAAAAAGAAACCAGTTAAGACGAATAGGTATTAAGGTTTTGTCACAAAATCAATCCATCTCCTCTAAGTCTCCCCCACTGCCACTCCCCTTATAATCCTCACTAACAAGTATCCCAACCAAACATTCCCCAAGCATCCCATCCCAATTAACCCACGGATGAATCTCTGCAAAGAGTTTCTCGGAATTCTTCCCTGCCCCGCGCAATAGCTCTCCTTTCCCACCCGGATGAAATGGAAGGTAAGGGGTTATGTTGTAAACCTTACCCAAGTATGACGTCCATGCGTCTTGCCCTTTCCTTCCGTTATGCTCTCTCAACATCGATGGTGTTACATGTATTAGCATTGGTGGAAGATTCTCTCCACGGAGTTTGTGGTTAGGATTGGATGATATCGCTGCCCAATCGAGTGGCGAATGGCCAGGCTCAAGTTTGACTTGTCGAGACGGCTGCGTCTTTCCGTGAATTTGGACCGGGGCGAGGGTACTAGAGGTGAGGCCTCGGGACAAGGGTACGCGGAGGGAGGCAGCTACGGATTGTAGAGGACGGGGTGAGACATTTAATGAAGGTCGCGAAGGAGGTAACATGGAGGTTGATTTGGGTTTTGATTTGGAAGTATTTTGGGTTTGCACTTTGGGGGGCGGTAGTCGGGGAGGGCCCATAAGGGCATTATTAGTCCTAACATTTCTGGTCTCTAAGGATGGTAATGATTCAGATATTGTTGCTGGAGAGGTGAGAGATCGCTGGGCGGGGTATGTCTTATTTAATATTTCGATGGACGCCGGGCTTTCCTCCAAATTTAGGATCGGCACATCTATCGAGAGGGGTTGCATCGATGTCGCTTTCGGAGTAGAGCCACCGGATCTAGAGTAGGTTCGGCCGCCGCTATCCTCAAATTCTCCTCTGGATAACCCATACTCGTTCTGAATTGATTCTGTCTTAGGCGGGGGTTGGTATGATGAAGAGTTGTCCTGTAACAAGGTTGGTATTCCTAGGGTGTTTCTCAACAACTCGTGGAGAGGCGCAAGGTTCCATGATCCCAAAGGACGCTTGTAGAGCAAGAAGGAGATTGAGGCAACAAGGGCCCCTACGCCTACCCAGCCCATGGAAATATTGATAATATGGGGTGAGGATATATCCCTGATCTGCAGGACTCGTGGGGGATGACAACGCTATATCGCTTTTTGACATTTCATGAGAAGGCTTTTGAAGGCAGAGGTCTCCATCACGTGATTCTCTCTGTACTCCGTGCGTGAAGTTCGTTAAAAAAAATAGGGTTTAAACTTTTTTAAGCATAAAAGAAGGATTCACAGATCTGTACTACAACACCGCGACCTTTCCATCTTGGTTAATGTGTATGAACAGTACGGAGTACTTCTGAAAAGGATAATTATACTGAGTAAGAATATTAAAATACAATATTTACCTTCTTATTGGATTATTAATATAAACTTGGGGTTTCCAATCATCAGTTGGGCTATTGAGTCGTTCCAATAAAGCTCCAAGTGCCTGCAAAACTCAAGTCTTTTGCCATTTCTTCCTTTCATTTTTATACCCAGGAAAATTCAAAGGTAGTTGGCTCCTAGAAGCACTGTGATGAATCTAATTTGTATGTATCTACATATTCTATACAACGTCTTCAAATCACATATCTGAAATGGCAGAACGAAGGGAAAGGCTGTCTTTCGCAAGTGGTGCAATATGTATGTAAGACAGTACTTGTAGTTGGGTGTGTAAGTGCATTAACAAAAAACAAATGAACTTAAATAAAAATGGTAAGAACCCGATTCTTCAAAAGACAATCTAAGATTCTTGAAAATAATTGATTTGGTAGAAATAAAATTCTCAGTATACGTTAGTAGAATAAATTAAATCAATATGATTAACAATTTTGAGGTCATGACGGGGAAGGTAAAAGAGCACAAAGGGTGCTCTCTGACAACGAATGCATTTCAATATCAGGTAATAAGAAAAATTATAAATAACGGGAGGGACTGACTATGATTCATGCAGTAGAACCTAAATCATGAATTAGCTAGGTAAGAAACTTATAAATTGCAGGTACTTACCGTTGGCTTTCCTTTCTTATTAATAATGACACTAGTAGATAGAAAGATGCCTTGCTCAAGCTCCGCGGGTGCGGTAAAATGTTCTCGACCAAAGTTTATTAAGTTATTGAAAGAGAGCAGCCACCGATACTGTATTGATTAAACCAGATTGCTCTCCATAGCTGACGTAAAATAAACCAACAGAATTCCACTTCACTTGTGCTTCAACCCCTCCAGCTCTGGATATGAATTCTGCTATCACATAAGATCCCTCCAGGGGCTTTTTGAAGACGAGACTCTCTCTAGCAGTCCGTGAGGGAGAGAAAGACTTGGATGGGAGAGTTTCGGCAAGGGTTTCTTTGTTCATTTGACTTTGTCCATGCTGCGGTGTTTTGGGAGTCTTAAACTATTTATTTTGACATTAGTTTAGAAAGAAATAAGGCACCATATTGAATGCAGTGTAACAAGTGAAATTGAATTAATAGGATATAATCGTGCCCCGCGCACCCACACCTGATGTGGGTGCACCACAGCGTAATAATAAAAACAGCATAACAATAAAAATATGAATAATTAGAACTTCAAAAATTAATATCTCATCACCATGCTGCTAATCTATGATAATTAATTTATCTATATCATCTGTAGTAGCTGTATTATTTGTAAGATGTTCATATATATCATTAACCTCTTGTTGAGTTAGATCTGTGATATTTTTCTTCAAAGCTCTCTCAACATGTTTGACTCTCTTATAATGTTCTTTTTCTGCTTCCTCCTCTTTACATTGTGTGATCTTTCTATTTGCATCTCTGACAGTGAGTATATCTTCTACTTGAATCTGCTGATATGTATTTTTAGTGCTGCAGTATTTGATTGCAAGATAGTAACTCTCAATCTCACTCTCTCTTATAGCATTAAGTTCTGTCTGAACAAGACTGTCTTGGAAAATCTTGTTCAATCAATTACTCAGATGAGATGATTTAAAATTAAGTATATTCTTCATATCTTGCATTATCTTCTTTGTCATTTGAATATGATGTTGTAGCTTCTCAATTGTTTTGAGTAAGAATAGCTGTGATAAAGCAGTATCTAAACAGTTTGATTGTAGTGAAAAAAAATCTTCTTCATATATTTACAACTCAGAGTAGTCAGATATCTTTGAATCTAGCTTAAGTAGTATAGATTGTGAGTTGAATAAGACAATACCACAATCTGCAAAGTCAGTCTGAATAGTAGAAGATTGAAAAGTCTTTTTGTAAACATCAACTAGATTCTGTAGAAATTGATATTTTTTATACTGCTTATATCTGTATCACACAGCTTGATTAACTGCCTTTGAATGATAATGCTTATACTGCTGAAAAGATACACCATCTAAAGATTATAATATATGAGTTGAATGTGAAGAAAATTTATATAGAATAATCTTGTGAAGATTGCAGTTTTGTAGAAATTCTTTAATGAGATGAGATTTATCATTGTTAAGAAGCAGCAATCAATGACTGTCTTGCTGATATTTTTTAGAGATCTCATTAAAGTGCTGAATTTATACAAAGTCAATCTCATTATTGATATAGCCAGTATCTGATATAATAATTGTATATTCATCTGGTAGATTGCTTTGTATATATCAATCTTCAAATTGAGTTTTGAATTTCATGATGAAGATATTCAATATCTCATTATTTACTGAAATACACTTAATCACAGTGATCAATTCTCAAGAATATGATGAAGTTATAACTGAATTAAAGTCTTTAAAAGCAGTAAAAACCTATTCTTCATATTTTTGATTCTCTTGAAAGCCAATCTCATCAAAGTTGTAGATATCATAGATTTGAAACATGTACTTTTGAAGTAAGATTTTCAAATAGTCAAATTACATCTTGATGTAGTTAATATCTTCAACAGCAATTCTTTTTGAATTCATTGTCTTCTGCTTAATTCTTCTATATTCATTCAAACTTTATATATATCAATAGATTCACATCTTGCTGACCACAGATGAGAAGGTTGAAGAATCAGTATGATGATATTTGAGAATGAGATTTATATTATCTTGAATCTGCTCTGTGGTCAATGAGCAATTATTTCTGTTTATATGAGCTATTCACTCTTTTAACATGTTCTTCTGACTCTTACTAAGCTTTTTATTCAGTGTAGTCTTTGCATTGTGTTTTTCATTGATTTTTACTTGAAGATATTGATAGGAAATGTTGAATTTGCATACTAGAGGTAGAATTTTATGTTTTCAGTTGTCATTATAGACTTCAATGGCACTCTGAATACATTTTTCAAGATCATCTATCTTATTGATCACAGTGGTGGTGATATATTAATATTTGAAGATTGATTAATGAAGAAGTTGATATTTTTATTGTTATGCTGTTTTTATCATTACACTGTGGTGCACCCACATCAGGTGTGGGTGTGTGGAGGCACAATTATTAGACAACTTGTGGAGCTCTTGGCACACTTAAATCTTACTGTTACCAATCTGCACCTGGGAATTTTGAATCCGGGTGAGAGATTCCGACAAAGAAGCTTAGCCTATGGCGTAATTGAAGGGGTAACCGCGCCACATGCACTAACTACCTCCCGTTAGTGCACCCTACTATAAAGAAAACATCATCATAATTGAAATCTCTTTCTCATATATTTATTACCAATCTTCAAAAATTAATAACCATCACCATCATGTCTAATAATATTAAACATTTAGATTTAGAAGATTAGATTCAAATAACATTAGACATCATAAAAGCAAATTCAAAATTTAAAATTATAAACATGATATAAAAATATAAAATTTCATATAGAACTCTATATAAATATATTAAGAGAAGGAGATCCAAAAATATGAGAGTTTTCAACAATTGAATATTGAGTAATAGTCAGAAAAAAGTGATCAAAAAGTGAATTCATCAATTAAATAAAAACTTTAATTTTTTTATATTTGAACATATCAAAGTTACTATTAATTGAATATTAAGTTATTATCATATCAATTTTAACATTTATTCTTCTACTATTAGCAAGATGTAAGTGTATCAACTCATTAAATATCTATCAAATTATAATAAAATAAAATAGAAATTTATAAATTCAAAATAGATATCAAATAAGAATATAAGCTTTATTATCAACTGATTTGACTACTATAAATTTATCTTTAATCAGTATAAGTTTCATATTAATAATATTTATAAGTTTAACAAGATTAGATTTTTTAAAAAAAAAATATAAATAATAAATAATAACTATTTATTAAGATATTAATTTTATTATATAATTATTATATTCTTATAGATTAATAATAATGATAAAATATATTAGTCTAAATGATATAGTGTCAAAGTTATTAATTATAATAAAATTAATAATTCAACTAGAAGATTGATATATATACTTCAATTTATCTGATAATTATATTATTATCTTATCAGATACTAGCTTCAATAATAATAAAATTGAATTTAAATAAATAAAGCTTTTTATTATAGCACAGGTGCTATTATTGTAAAATTTAATTGATTTATTTCAATCTCAACTATATTTGATTATTTTTATTGATTTACTCTACTCTAAAGATTGATTTCATTCAATTTTATATTATAATCAGTTACTTAGATTGATTTACTTCAATTTATAATTATTTATATATATTTAACTACTTATTTATTCTATATTTTAATTTATAATTTAGTATTTTTATTGCAATTATCTAATAGATAAATAAATTGAGCTTTCATCTTACTATCATTATATCTTTAGACTAAGTCATAATATAATATTAAACTTCTCTTTTTCAAAAGCTTTGAAGATTGAGTAGCAAGTCTATATTTCTATATTCATATGAGCTTCTTTGTAGTTGTAACTATGTTGAATGTTTAAACTCTATATCTATATCTATATCTATATTTATATAAGCTTCTCAATGATCGTGACCATATTAAGTACTTAAATATATAGTATTTTATTATTTTTTATTATCTTTATATTTATTATAAAAGTTTCTTTTACTGCTCTTTATCAGAAATTTGAGAGTATTATTTAAA